ATAATTGCTGTAGCATCTTACGTAGCATCAAGTTTTTGGCATCATTACTGAGAACCATCAATTTTTGCATTAGAGTTAATATTTATTTACTTATTTTTTTTTCTTTTTTAGGTACTTGTCTTTATTAGTTTCATTGGTTTATGACCTGTAGAGATAACGAATTAGAGCATTTTGATCCAGAGATATAACAAACATTCTGACGCCGTCAAAGAGAAGTTGTGAGTAATCAAGAAACCATGAATATTGGAAATGGTAACAATTCCCTACCTCCACTCCAACATGACAATAATAAAAAGTTATCAATTGGAGCTGGAATTAATGAGCAACAATTTTACAAAATAGATTATCGTAATTAGCCTATTCAGGAGCACGTAGTGCAACACTCGATGATTTACATCCTGACATTCTGTGACCAACAATTCATGTTGCCAATGTATGGAAGTATGTGATTCATTTGTTTAGCAAGGAGTTCATGAAAAAGCCTTGAAACTGAAGCTGTTCCCTTATTCGCTGAGAGATAAAGCTAGAGCATGGTTGAATTCACTTTCACCTAGTGCTATATCATCCTAGAATGAGCTGGCACAAAAGTTTTTATTGCGATTCATTCCACTAAATATGAATGCGAAGCTGCGAAATTACTTGACATCGTTTAATCAATTAGAAGATGAGAATTTGTATGAGGCATGAGAGATATTCAAAGACTTTCTGTGAAAATGTCCAATGCATATATTCCCACATTTGAAACAAACTGAAATGTTTTATAATGGGTTGAACATGCACACTCGAATAGTGGTTGATGCTTAAGCAAACAGAGCATTTCTGGAGAAGAAATATAATGAGGCATATGATATTGTGGAAAGAATATAAAAAATGAGTATCAATAACTTAACACAAGGAACACGTTTGGTAGACGCAATATTGCAATAGTGGATTCTGATGCTTTCAAATCAATGGCTTCCCAAATCACATCATTGACGGATATGGTGAAAAAGCTACAAAAGCTAGGGGTATTTATGAGGTAAAATCCATATCTAGCATTTTTTATGTTTATGTGGTGATAATCACAATTATGGAAGAATGCCCTCAAAAACCTGAATTTGTTTTCTATGTGAGGAATTATAGTAGGAATGAAAATTCCTATAGCAACATTTACAATGCCAATTACCGTAACCATCCCAATTTATCTTGGAGAAGTCAAAATGTTGTCAATCCTCAGTAACAACATTACAATAAGTAACAGTTGATGCCACAACCTCGTATATATCAACAGGCCACACAACCATGACATAGGCAGAATTATCAAGGACATTATTCAAATCAAACCACTAATATTTCTTCTCTCAAAGCCTTAATGAATGAGTACATAGTGAGTCAAACAACATCATTAAAGGCTTTAAAGAATCAAGTTGGTCAAATGGTGAATGCTTTGAGCAATATACTACAAGGGATATTGTCCAGCGATACTGAAAATCCAAAGCAACAAAAGAAAACCCAATGCAATGATCATTGTAATGCCATTACTACTCGAAGTGGTCTTCACATTGGAAAACCTGTTGAGGACCCTAATAAGACAGTTGACGAGGGGGATACAAAGTATGACAAGGGTAAGAGCATGAAAGTGAATCTTGAAACTCCCACTGTTAGTGTTACAACAAGAGAAGCAGGATGATGTAATAATTATGGACCATTGCCAGCAACAATGCGTACCACACTGTCAGATGCCTCTTTAGCTCCAATGTCGCAGCAACCACAAAAAATGATGCCTCCATCATTCCCTCAATGATTCAAAAAGACCAATGAAGATCAATAATTTAAGGCATTCATTGATGTACTTTGAAAATTGACAATCAACATTCTTTTGATTGAAACATTGGAGCAAAATCCAAACTACATTAAGTTCAAACGAGAAGTTCTTTCCAAGAATAGAAGGCTCGGAGAATTTGAGATTGTTGAACTTAAAAATGGATGTAATGTTATGGATAGAAGTCGATTACCACTTAAGTTTAAAGATCCATAGAGTTTCATTATTTACTGTATTATTGTTGATAAATTTGTTGGAAAAACTTTATGTGACTTGGGTGCTAGCATTAATCTAATGTCATTGTCAATTTTTAGGAACTTTGGGAGTGGTGAAACATGACCAACCACCGTTACTTTGCAGCTTGTTAACTGTTCCACCGTACATCCTAGTGGTATCGTGGAAAATATGTTAGTCTGAGTAGACAAATTCATTTTTCCCACATACTTCATCATTTTGGATTGTGAAGATGATAAAGATGTCCCTATTAATATTGGTCGCCCCTTTCTTGCCAACGGTCGAGCATTGATTGATGTAGAAAAAGGGAAATTTACTATGTATTTGAATGATGAACACATTACTTTTAATGTTTTTAAGAATGTTTTGTATGTTGATAATAATATTGAATGCTATTCAATTGATGTCATTGATGTGTTTACACAGGAGCATTAGAATGAATGCCACAACATGAATGATGCTACCGACAATGTAACAATAACAATTGAGGAGATAGTTGAGGAAGAGGGAGCTTAGGGGAATTATATGCAACATTTTGAATTATTAGAACTCCCTGATTGACCTATTTGTGCTCTAAAAAACTCAATTGAATAGCCACATGCTTTGGAATTAAAGCCTTTGCCCGAATATTTGAAGTATGTTTATCTTGGGGACAATGATACTTTGTCGGTTATTATTTCAGCAAAGCTTGAAACAGCATAAATGAGCAATTTCTTGGAGCATCGCTGATATTAAAGGCATTAGCCCAGCCAATTATGAAAGAAGTTGTTCCAAATGAGATTATAAAATGGTTGGATAATGTAGTTATATACTTAATCTCAGACAGGAATTGGGTCAGTCCAGTGCAGTACGTCCCAAAGAAATACGACATTACTATGGGTTCAAATGAAAAAAAATGAGTTAGTACCAACAAGGACCACTATTGCTTGAAGAATATGTATGGACTATAGAAAGCTCAACAAAGCTATAAGGAAAGATCACTTCTCATTGCCATTTATAGATGAAATGATGTATCGTCTCACCGAAAAAACTTTATATTATTTCTTATACGAGTATAGTGGTTACAACCAAATAGCCATATCACCTGAAGACAGGAGAAAACTACTTTCACCTGCCCTTATAGTATGTTTACCTTACGACGAATATTGTTTGGTTTGTGCAATGCTCCAACAATATTCCAGTGATGTATAATGGTTATATTCTTCGATATGATTGAATATTACTTGGAGGTATTCATAGATGACTTTTTTATTTTTGTGAATGACTTTGACCAATGTCTTATTCATTTATTCATTTGGTTGTTGTGTTGAAACGATGCAAAGAAACCAATTTGGTTTTAAATTGGGAGAAATGTCACTTCATGATGACTGAGGGCATAGTGCTAGGGCATCATATCTCTAGTCATGGCATGAAAGTATACAAGGCTAAGGTAGAAGTTATTGAGAAGCTACCACCTCCCACCAATGTGAAATCAATTAGAAGTTTCTTAGGACATTCGAGATTTTATCGAATATTTATCAAGGATTTTCCCATATTGCTAGACCATTATGCTCATTGCTGGAGCAAAATAGAAAATTTGTGATTGATGATAGGTGATGAATACTGCTCCTATAGTCGTAGCACCAGATCAAAATTGTTCACTTGAGCTTATGTGCGATGCTAGTGACCAAGCTATTGGAGTAGTGCTAGGGCAAAGACGAGAAAAAGTCTTTCATGTTATACATTATGCTAGTCAAACACTGAATGTTGCCCATCTCAATTACACTGTAACACCCATAGCCCATATATATCTCGTAATACGAGTCACATATGTCACATCAATTAGATAAATATTTACTATGCATGAAGATTTAAAATCTCGTTTCTTTTTAAACTTTCACTGTTTCAACTTTTAAACTTTTATCTTATTCGTATAAAATCATAAATGTAACTGCTTTTGTAAATTGTTTATAACCATAATTGATTATTATAGTAACTGATTATGTACAACCTATAATGTTATCTACAACCCAATCTTTTCCATTCAACTTGAAATGTTACATACTACTTATTTTACTAACTCCAATTATTTTTCATTCATTCAACCTATAACAATAATCGATTCATTATATTACAACTTTTCCCTAAAAACTAAACTCTAATCCCTGAATCCAAAATCATTAATTTTAAAAACTGTCAACTAGGGTTTTACGAACGTACATCTCTATTCTTCAAATTGTCATTTCAATTTTATTCACATCTTTTCTCTTTAGATGCCTATTGCTCAAATGGAAACATACTTCTTTGATTCTGGCCTTTCCCTAAACCGGTTGTGTTAACTATAATTACTCGATGTTTTTCTCTATGTATCGATATATGTGGAAAAGTTTAATGCATTTACAACCTTCTCATTTTCCTTCTTTTTCAAAATTCAAAAATATTTATATAATCGATTTACAACACAAAATGTTCTATGTATCAACCGAAAAAGTTATCTGTTTATATAACAATATTAGTTGAAATTGAAAATATTACTCTTCTAATGGTCACAAAATAACTTATAAATTGCCAATATTATTAATATAATTAACATTTTAAGTTGTCATTCAAATGCTACTAGATTTTAAGTTGATACGGCTTTATTCGTTCACACCACAATAAAATAAGTTGGTTGCGATCTGAAATATTATAAACTTTGACAATATCGATATTTAAAAAAATTAATACGTACCAATAACATAAGTTATTCGATTAAACCATTTTAAATTATTTTAAAATATTTACAACCTATTTTATTAAATTTCTTTTCAAATTTCTGATTCCGTTTTTTAGCCTTATGTATTTCTTACATTCCCATGTCATCAGTCCAGTTTTCAGTTTTTTGTAAATACACTTTTCAAAAGTTCGATAACAGCCATATGTTGAGTGCCATCTGTCAGTTCTTGGTCCGATTGAGTGCATCTTTAAGAGGCGGCGAACGAGAACTAGAATCATGTACAGAGAGACAGATTCACTGAAACAGAAGCTATCCAGGTAGGGTAGGGTAGGGTCGGGTCACCTTCAAAACCGATGTCGTCTTTTGACGATGATGGCTACTTAGGTTACGACCCTCGCCTCGTTTCCCACCAATCCCACTCCTTGGAAGCCGACTCGGTCAAGGTCTCACTACCCGATTCCCCACCGATGTTCAACAATCAGTCGCACGCTATCGGAGATGACGTCTTCTCATCACAATCGATGCCCGAAACTCCTTCTCCACCTCTCATCTACGGTAGCGGTGGTGGATACTCTGCTTTCTCACCGGAGCACAACGGGGAGGAATTCAACGGCGATCAGTTTGGAGGATCCAATGAGCCGGTCTTGCCGCCGCCTGCTGAGATGGAGCCTGAAGAAGGTTCTGCTTTGAGAGAGTGGCGCAGGTAAGTTTACGATCACAAGTTACTGGGTTGAACTTCATTTCTATTTCATTTTGATTAACTCAAACTATTAAAACTACCAACTTAAATTTTCTATAAAAAATATGGAAGGAATTTTATCATTTATTATTGATTATGTTTTTAAAAGTTTGAGTTTGGATTTACTGATTCGCAGACAGAACCTGATTCTACTGGAGGAGAAGGAGAAGAAAGAGAAGGGGATGGTGGAGCAAATAATAAAGGGAGCAGAGGAGTACAAAGTTGAATTCCATAAGAAGACAAGTATAGCTATTGAAAAGAACAAAGCATCCAACAGAGATAAGGAGAAGGTGATACTCAGACCTCAAATTCACAATTCTTATACTATATGTTTTGCCCACCAATTTCATTTTATGAAAATCTTGTGTTATAGTGCTCTGGGTTTATTACAAATTCATGGATTTAGATTGTGGTTATGTGGAGCGATGAAAGTGTGTTAGGAGAGACAGATGTATAATTTTATGTTTGAGGTACACTTGTAAGTTTGGAAGAGATTGTATGAGAAATTAAAATTTTCAAAGATGATTGGATCAGTGTGTTAGTATACGGTGTTTCTGTTTCTGCAAATGACTCATGTTAGGATCATATATTGGCAGGTATGTTTGGAAAATAGGGGTAAATTCCATGGAGAGGCAGAGAAAAATTACTGGAAGACAATTGCAGAGCTGATCCCGAATGAGGTGCCGACTATAGAGAAGAAGGGAAAGAAACCTTCCATCGTTGTGCTCCAGGGACCTAAGCCTGGAAAGCCAACTGATCTTTCCAGGATGCGACACCTACTCGTGAAGCTGAAGAATAATCCTCCTCTCCACATGAAGTACATTTGAATGATTCAGAGCCATTATCAAACATCACGTGACATTCAGAGCTAATTCATACAGAGCCTCTGAATCATTCAGCATTTGAATCATTCAACATTTGAATCATTCAGCACTTAATCATTCTGAAGTAAACAAATAACTCCTAAATTCTTTAAGGATAAATTATATGATTGATCACTCTCGTTTAAGTTTGTATAATTTTTCTCGTTGAATTCAAAAAAATAATATTTAATTACTTTCGTTTTTATTTAGTTAAGATGTGATTACTGAGTGTTAACCGTCATTGGACTTTTTAACGAAATATTTATGGAGCACGATGAATGTATGAAATTAAAATGAGTAAACTACACAAAAGATCACTAATATTTGAGTAAGTTTTTGTTTTCTCCACTGAAATTTCAAAAGTAACAAATTGGTCAAGACCATTTTACAGTATATCTCCGAAAATGATCCGAATTGATAGGGAACTCGATCAACACAAAAAAAAGGCAATCGAAGCATTTACAAACAGTGTCCTACAAGCTACACTTTGATTTTCAATACAAACTGCCAATACCAACCTTTATTTCCTTGTAATTGAATAGATGAATATATCTTTTCTGATTTGCAGTCAATGTATATCATCTTGTTCATGAACAAAATACACTCCAATGCAGATAATTCTTGATATTACATGGATCGTAATTGGTTACAAAGGAATAAATTTGTACAGAAAAAGGGTTGCAATATTCGTCCCAGATCATAACAACTACTATAACTTCAACACCGAGCACAGCAAGAAACTTGAAGGAACAAGCGTAGAGTAACATTTAGCTTGTGGTTTAAAGCCCTTACCAAAGAGATGATTGATGGCTACATAAATGAAAACCCAACAGGCCACAAGCAAGTCCTATAGAGATTGCGTAAATCCAATCAGTCACATGACCGGATGTATGACTGTCCTACCACCGTCTTTATCACTGGCCGTCTACCCATCCGTCTTCGTATCCTCACCGTCGGCCATACAATTATTGTAATTAACTGGTTTGAAGTTATACAGGTAAACCATTAATCGAGCCTTGTTTTATCATCTCTTTCTGCTAATGTTCGCATAGATGTATCGAATGAAAGTTTGACCGAGTTTCGATAAATTTTGAGATTTGGTTACTAGGGATTTATGGATATAGGGATTTAAGGAATGGAAAGTTTTGTCTTTGGGTAACGAGACGAGCTTGAAAAGCATGAGCAAACTAGTTAGCCTAAGACGTAATATGTATTGTAGAGGCGATGAATAAAATTTTAGTTCAACTCTTGGCATGATAAATTTAACAGTTCAGCTGAAATTTAAAACAAAACGCATAAGCGCAGGCAGCTAATTACAAGTCGATGGTTACTCCTCTTGCACCATTGATATAAGGTAAAGGTTGTAATCACCATTTTTACCTCCATCCAGCAGCCCCTCCACGTGCATTTCCAGCAGTTTCCATCCAACAACCCTTTCACGTTGCAGCTCCAGCAGCTCCTAGCACCAACGACAGTTGCCCCCCACGTCGCAGCTACAAAGTGATTCACCGAACTCGACCCTTTTAACCGGTCCAAGCAGGGTTCTGTGGTGGCTATAAAAGCCACTGAATCCTGCAAAAGAAAGATACACAGCCACCACCAACAAACAATCTATATCTACAAAACTGAAAGAAAAGAGAAGAGAAAGAAGAGACCTACCATCGAGGAATCGAACGTCGCCGGAGACACCATAGAACCGAAGGTAAAACTTCGGTTTCTTTTAGATCTACGGAGTTTGGTAAAACTTTAGGCTAGAATAACCTTATATTTGGGTTTAGAAAATAAGGGCTTCGATTTGGGACACTTTTGTAAAACGACCACCGTGTATGGTGGCCGGCGGCGGCGACGCCGATGAACGGTGGCCGGCCAGTGACCGGCTCTCCCTCCGGTTAGGGAAAGCTAGAGAGGAGGGAGAGCTTCTCTCTAAGAGAGAGAAGCCAAAGAGAGAAATAAAAAAAAGGTTAAATGACCTATTTATATCCACTCCAAAACTACGTCGTTTTGGATAGGGACATCTGTGCAAATTTACGCATGAGTAAACCTCATCCTCAGTCCTTGTAAGTTGTATTTATTTTGTTTGTCACTAAAAGCGAATTCTGAACTTTTAAATTTGGTCTCGTAATTTTATTTTATTTTATTTTATTTTAGTCCTTATATATATATTTAGGATAAATAGTGCATTTAGGCCATTTAAATTTTATTAATTTTTATTTTAGTCCTGAATAACTAATTAAGGCTAAATTACACTGTTGGCATCTATATTTTATGATAATTCGAATTAGGCCATTAATTTATATATTTTACATTTTAATCCCTAATAGTTTGATAATTTTTATTTAATATACTTTGAAATTTAATTTTATAATTTTAATTTCTTTTATCATTATTTATTTGCAATTTTATTTTGTTTTACAGTATTACTTTCGATATGTTTAAATTATTACTTTCATTATTATTTTATTATTATTTTCATCTTAGTCATATATATATATATATATTTGTTTAAATAATATTATTTTTTTATTTTTAATATTAAGAAATGTGTTATCTTAAAGCAACTAGAAGTCATTTTCTGATATTTTTAGATAAATAAATATTTTACTTTTATAAATTATAATTTTATTATTATTAGGAAAATTTTTCTATTTATTTATTTATTAATATTAAAGAAATGGGTTGTCTTATAGCAACTAGAAGTCCTTTTTCTAATATTTTTAAATAAATAAATACTTTATTTATCATTTATAAAAATTATTTTAATATTTTTCTTCCTTATTATCCAATTGAATATGAAAAGATCATAAATTAAATTCATATTCGAATTCTTAAATTCTACTATTAGAGACAATTTATAATCGACAATGACCAATTTTGGGCGTTGTGGGAGTGATAATCATTCCCCAATCGTAACCGACCACGAATCCCTTTTTATTCTCAAAAAGAATGAATTTTTGGTTAAACGCAGACCAGTTTATCTTTTAACTGATGTTTTCTTAAAAATCTTTTAAAAGATGATTTTTAGGTATTCGACCTACCAGACCCAAAAGGCCGATGGCGACTCCCAAAATATTTCATTAAAAACCATTTATCCACATTATTTTTCCCGCCAAGAAAAATTTCGTGCCCCGGCGAAAATCGATTACGACAGCTTGGCGACTCCGTTGGGGATGGTCAAACCTAAGTCGATTATATATTGTATCTATAGTTAGAAATTGAGAATCTAATTTTATTTAATTTATGATTCTTTTTTCTTTCAATTTATTTTATACTCTTGTATATTTAATTTTATTTTTAGATATCAATTTTTGTATGAACATTTCTCCTCACACACAACACATACATTGCATGAACATAAGCTCTATAATTGAGCTCTTTCCCTTTTAAGTGGGAGTGAAAGCGACGTCTTCGTGAGAATTTATTCTCCGTGTCAGACCTAGCAAGTAACTTTTGGGGCTCATATGATATATGTCTTCGTGAGAATTTATTCTTCGTGTTAGGCATAGGGAAATGTGTCCTCTCGAATTGAACTTGGTCCGCTTAAGTTTGTGATGAATTATTGAGGGTTTGGCAGCCCAAGGGGGCACCAACAAAGACAGTTCGAGTACCTTTACTCCTAGAACTGAAACCCTCCATATAATAAACCTTAGAAATTCACCCGATCTAAGACAAGACTGAACCTCTGTTCGTAGGTGTACACAAAGGAGAAATAAGTTCTAGCTTTTAATTTATTTGATTTCATTTTTTTCTAAATAATTTCCTATGAACTAAAAATCATGCAGTTAGGTTAATTTTTCCAAACAAAGCATGGAACTAGAAAGCATGAGGTTAAAATTTATACCTTAATAGATAAATTTTTTTTCTTTCCATTAGTTGGTACTAACTATTTTATTTTTTTCTTATTTTTTCCCATGCATTTTATTTTGCTCTAATTTATTTATATTGATTTCTTTTGTTTCCATTGCATAATCATGGCATAACCAAAAGGTGTTGATTTGAAAGACTGTTCATCAAATTAGAAAGAATTCATAAATGGACAAAAAGTTTTATGATCAAGCAAAATATGATGCAACTAAGGAAAGACATCCTAAGGGGACTCCGAAGATATAGGAGAGCTATACACCCAAATATCGTATGCCTGTTGAAGAGCAAAAGGAGATACGAGAAATAAGAGAGCATATGTCCAATATGATGGGTACAATATCTATTTTAGCCAAAGAAAAAGAGATTCCTACACAAAAAGAGAGAGAGCTCAATGACCATAACCCTGCAATCTCAAATATACAAGGAACTTCGGATCTTAACTAATTTGAGAAATTACAGACAATCATTATTCATATTCACAAATTATCTGGAGATACCCAGGAAATGGTGACAACTGTAAAAGCTCCCAGAAATGGGAAGAAATTATGTATTATGAAATCATCAAGGTTTAGTCTGCTCCCGACGTCTAAAACTCATGTTCAATCCAAGACAAAAGGTGGTTCTCATTTTGATGCTATCCCTATATCATATGAGGAGTTGTACGAGAAGCTACTTGAAGCGCGAGAAGCTACTTGAAGCGCGAGAAGCAGCTCCGCATTATATGAAGCCATTTCAACCTGCATATCCGAATTGGTATGACATCAACGTTTATTGTGAATATCATGCCAGAGCTCAAGAACATACCATTGAGAATTGCCTTGCCTTCAAACATCGAGTCCAATGTCTTTGGATCATGGAATCTTAGAGTTTAGGATAAATGATCAACCTAGTTTGTTAACTGAAGGTCCGGCTAGATTAATACCAAAAGTGGTCAAAGGTAAGAGCATCAGTAGGGGCACACATAAAGAAGAAGATTTGTTGAGGCCTGAGGCTCAAATACGTTATTTAAATATTGAAAACGATAAATTGAGCACCAAAATGGAAACCATGCATGAAGATTTCCAGAAGGTCAGTCAAGCCTTTCAAAATACTGGCATAGGAAACACCCCAGAAGAGTGGATAACAGGGGTCACCAAACTGAAAAAGAACTGTAACATACATGAAGGTCGA